GAATTGGGACTAAATCTCTGGATTTTATATAATTTCAAGAGGATAAAATGTTTTCATATATTGACTCTATCTGACTAAATTGATTTAGGAATACATTGTTGTCATTGCATTAACTCAGCGTGTAATATAGGACATCCGTAACTTGTTTGAATCATATTCTGTTGAAAGTACTATGATTAATGCCGTTCAATGTAAATTATGCGAATGGCGTCGACCATTACTCTCCATATTTTTGGTAACACTCCTGTACAGCGATTATCTTGCGGGTTTTTCTTGTGTTTAGAAGGGAATTAATGAGCTTACCTTTCAAAGTGTACACCTAATTCATTGCAATTTGTGAATTCGGTTCTTGTACAATTGTTCTGCTTCAAATGTTGTCATTGTAGACGGACTTGAGACAATAGCTGCTAGATGTAAAAAATGTTTTATTGGCATTAATTTTCTGTCTAGTTGTGCTCTGTATCCGCATCTCAATTTATTGCAGGGCACCGTTATTTGGTTGAGCGGTTAGTCTTTCAAAGCACCGCTAAATTGTACAATGACCAGTCAGTCATCTAATAAGATGAAGAGAAAATAAGTCAGTTTTGTCTTCTGTATTTATATCAAAAGCATGGCAAGCTAAAAGTCTAAAATTCGGCATTTTAAATCCCAGAACACAGTTTTGCCTTATAAGAATTATTACTGTATTAAAAAATTTCCGGAACGAACCTCTCCGTCGTAAAGAGATTTAGAAACACCCATTGCTTCCAGTGTAATGTGCTTTTTCTGACGCTGTGAAAGCCCAAATTCATTTCGAAATTTTAATCATTGTGGCTGTGGGATGTTTGGTAAACTTTAGAAATGTTAAAGTTTTTGGCTATTAGTTGAATTTTGTGATCGCAATCTTGAATCACATATATGTTTTACAAAAATGATAATAGAACATTTTATATTACGCTCCTATTTGTTGTTTTAAAAATCAAGTATATTGCTCAGCAAGTTAATGGCATTTATATCACAACCATTTGAGCTTTTTAGTAAAAATTATAAATCCGGTTGCCTTTGTAAAATAAAAAAAACTGAAATGTAATAAAAATAAAAACCGCAGGAACCCCAACAAATCATACTGATTACATGGAATTAACATTTTCAAATTTGCCACGGATATGCGAAACGATACGCTGAATGCATCACAAAGGCAGAAGGCAGAGAGCAGCGAGCTGAAATGCGGGGAAAGTCTCAACTTGTAACTTGGAAAATCATTATATTTTATTCCATAATAGTGCCAATAACATAGAAAACTCATTATTTTAAGAAACTTTTAAGCGTGTTTTTGTATTTTTAACCATATTTGCTGCACTTTTGTATCCTTGCAACAGAATACATTCACGCGCATAATTGCAGCAATAAAAAGTAAAGTTTATGACTTAACGAAACTATCAAAGAAAGCTAACACAGTAAAATATGTAAAATATAATAAAAAGCGCGAAAAAGGAGCAGTGAAATTTGTATAATGAGTTAACTAAAAGTTTTCATTCCATTCACTTTTTATATTTTCCAACTTTTTCCGTTGCAGTTTTCCTATTTTTCAGTTATTTTACATTTTTCAAGTTGATTTTCACACGCAACCAAAGAAAACTGCTTTCAGTGTTGAAGTGCGTTTTCGTGTTTATTTATTTTTACCACTCTAAATTTCTAGTCTATTTGAGGCTTCATTATGCAAAACAACAACAATAATAATAACAATAATATTCATAACTGCAAGTTAATAATAATAATAATAATAATAATAATAATAATAATAATAATAATAATAATAATAATAATAATAATAATAATAATTTTTTTTTGTATTTCGAGGCTGGGGAACAAAAAATGTCTACACACACCCGCAGAAAACGTCTTTCTGTGGGTAGTGCACGGTTCGCGCTAATCGCTGACATGCTAAAAAACTCCCCTTTCCAGGATGAAGCACATGACCCGGAACCACCACTAGGTATTGTTTCAGGTCATGCACATCCTGATTGTAAGATATAATCTTACGTCGCTGCTGTTGTACCTGCGTCCAGGCGCCTCTTTTTTGCGCGAAGTACTGCCTCCACGTGCCTCGCCACCACGTTCCAGTTGTTTTCACTTGCTAGTAGTAAGGGTACTACATTTTCCGGGGTCCAAATGCCGCCTATCTGTGCTTGCAGGTTGGTTCTCTCGATTAACCATTGATTGCATTCAAAAAACGTGTGTTCTACATCGTCGACATCAGCATCGCCATAGATGCAACTCTGCTCCTCTCGAATATTCATCCGGTACAGATATTTGCCGAAGTACCCGTGCCCGGAGAAGAATTGTGTCAGGTAATAGTTTACCTCGCCGAACTTCCTTGTGGTCCAGGCGACTAAGTCCGGGATGAGTCTTGCAGTCCACCTACCACTAGTTTCGTTAGTCCACCGACTTTGCCACTCTATCATTGTGTGTTCCCGATAATTTGTAGCTACGCTGCTGTTTTCGTTGCTTTGGCGGCTTAACCATGCTTGCCTCCGTTCCATGGCCATGAGGTCGATGGGTATTGAGCTGCTTATAACAAGGACCGCCGCACCTGAAACCGTACGGTATGCAGATGCTACCCTGAGTGCCGTTGTTCTCTGGATTTTTTCGAGCGCATTTCGCTTCTGGTTAATCTGTAATGCATTAGACCATACTTCAGAACCGTAGAGCAGAATCGCGTTCACAACTGTCATTAGCAGTTTTCGCTTGTCTTCTGTTGGGCCGCCAACGTTTGCCATTAGCTTGCTTAAGGACGCTGAGGCCTTTGAAGCCTTTTCACCTGCATGTTTTATCTGGGCCCAAAACGACATCCTGGAGTCCAGCTGGATGCCCAGATATTTCATTTCCTTGGACGTTTTAATGGTAGAGTTCCATACCCGCATTTCAATTTCCAAGGGTATTTGCTGTTTCGTTAATATAATGAGTTCTGTCTTCTCAGTTGCTAGCTTTAGACCGCGGTCATCCATCCATTCCATCGTGCGTAGCATGACCTGATTTAGTCTGAACTGTGCTTCGGTTACATTTCGTGCTGTGATGACTGCGGCTACATCATCGGCAAAGCCTACTAGGTGTACGTTGTCCGGCATTTCAATGGAGAATATTTCATCGTAGCTCGCATTCCATAGATCAGGGCCAAGAACGGAGCCCTGCGCTGCTCCGGAGGTGATCTTCTTAGTTTTTGTACCACTCCTTGTGTGATAGAGAAGCTCTCTATCGCTAAGGTAGCTGCGGATCATTCGCATCAAGTACATCGGTGTATTAAAGCGTCCTTCAAGGGCGTTGATCACATCGGTCCATTGTAGGCTGTTGAACGCATTCCTAATGTCTAGAGCCGCCAGAAGTACTATACGCTTCGAGTAAGCATTTCCACATTGTGCGGCTTCTACGGTTGCCGCCACATCAGCGATAGCTCCAATGGTGGACTTTCCTGGCCGGAAACCGTGCTGTCTGGTGGATAGTCCCCCAGCGCTCTCAATGGATGCTGCTATACGCGGTTTTAGTAGTCGTTCCAGCAGTTTCCCTGATGTGTCGAGCATACAAAGTGGTCGGTATGCATTTGGCATCTCGGGGTTGCCCTTTCCTTTGCTAATTAGGGTTAGTTGCTGCTTTTTCCAGGGCTCTGGAAAAATGCCTTCCTTCAGACAAGAGTTAAACATTTCAAGCAGGGATTGTGGGCGGTCGTCTGCTATCAGCTTAATCGCCTCAGATGGGACACCGTCCGGTCCTGGGGCTTTGTTATTCTTCAGAGAACGTGCTGCGGTTTTAAGTTCCTCTTCCGTAAAAAGCGGTGGATCATCGGTGAGTACCCTTTCACAGTCTCTGCGTATTTCATGATCCGGAAAAAGAGAATTTACGATGTTATCCATCACATTTTCTTCCAATTCAGGAACTGGCGCCAAGGCACCTATTTTTCGCATGACGATCTTGTAGCCAAGTCCCCAAGGGTCGTTATTTACGTCTTCACGTAACTCTTCCCATTTTCTTTTCTTACTTTTGGAAATAGCGATCTTTAATGCCTTCCTAGCTGCCTTTAATGCTTCGCTTTCTGCCGTGGCATCTCTCCGTGTTCTGGCCCTGGTCCTTCTCCTCCGCATTTGGAGACAGACCCTTCGAAGTTCAGCAATTTCTTCAGTCCACCAATAGGCTGCCTTTCTTCTGGGATTTTTTGCCACTCTAGGCATTGCTGCATCGCAGGCCTGTGTTATGCTGTGCATTGTGTGGCGGACCAAGCTCCTGGCATCTCCTCCTCCAGTGTTTCTACTCATCCTATCATCGAACACTTCGAGAAAGATATCCCTATTGAGTTTATTCGTGGACCATTTGCGAGTAGACCTCCTTCCGGGGTTTCCATTTGGCCTATTGCCTGGCTCGACGGTGAACCAGATGTATTGGTGATCGCTCCCCGTGTAGTCCTCGAGAACTGACCATTCCTTGAGCGTACCAGCTATCTTCTCCGACACTAACGTGATGTCTGGAATAGTGCCTTCGCATCCTGGTCTGCGAAAGGTGGGCGACATCCCTCTGTTAGCGACTACAAGTCCAATCTGGCCGCCATGTCAAGCACTCGCCTACCTCTGGGATTTGTGGTCATCATGCCCCATTCAATGGCCTTCGAATTGAAGTCGCCTGCTATAATAAAGTTTCACCCATTTGGAGGACGCAATCTTCGATTGCGTCCAGTTTCATCTGGAATTGGCCAATACTGTCGCTCGGTGTAAGATAGCAGCTCATTAAGGTAAAGTTGCGATTTCGAACCCAAACGTGTCCGTCTCCGGCACCACTGGCTGAGAAAGAGAATTTCTCGGCGCATGGCAGCCAGATGGCTGCAGTTCCACTGCAGTCAGCCAAGAAGGTACCGCAACTGATTTCTCCATATTGTTCGCTAATTATGACAACATCCGCGTTCCGCTCATGTATGAGTTGTGATATAAGGGCGTCTGCTGTCCTGCTTCGGTGCATATTTGCTTGCAAAAATCTCATCATCTTTGGGCCTTTACCGATGCACATTTGCCAGATGCAGCAATGTGATCGACGGTTTTGAGGCCAGCGTCAGTACAGACGCAGCACTTCGGAGAGTTTGTGCATTCCTTTAGTTTGTGTCCAGGTGCGCCACATTTGATGCAGAGGTTTGTTCTATCTGGACCCTTACAATTTCTCTGCATATGCCCTACACCAAGGCACCTGAAGCAACGCTTTGTTTCGGTGCGCGTCCGCATTTTTGGTTTGACCCATCCAATAATGATCGAGCCTCTCACGAGAAGCTTATCAGCTGCTACGGTGGGTAGTTGCACGTAAGCTCTGACCAGTTCTTTGTTATTTGGTTTGGTGACCGTGACCTTCAACCGCTCGATTCCGTTTGGAATGAGTCGTTTAACCGCTTCTTCGACTTCCGTCGTTGTCGTAAGCGCATCGAGATCCCTTATCTCTATGGTGGTTTTCGGTATCACACCAGTTACCTCCGCCGTTTCTTGCAATGCACTCCTTATTTCCTCGCAGAACTCTAAGCTTGCCTTAGTCCCCTTGTCAAGTTCTAATAGCAGAGCTCCCAACATTATCTTGCGGACTGCTCGAATTTTGACTTTCGAATCATCTGGCTTGACATTCGAACGGAGGTTCTTTAAAATATCCGCATAAGTTTGACTTCCCGTCGGTTTCTATCGTCGTCTCTATCCTTGTTGGGCCTGGGCCTCTTTGCTTCTGGCTTAATTTTCTTCTCGGCTTTCTTCGTAACGACAGTTGTTTTGTCTGGTCCTTTCGTAGTTGTAGGAGTCCCAATTTTGGGCTTCTTCCGATTTACAGTTTGCCATTCCTCAGGTTTATCTTGCCTTCTCTTTTTGGCGCTTTCATTTCCTGTGCTTTACGCAACAGGACTTGTCGCCATGCGCTTTTGTCGATGCACGTTTGGTGTGTCTATCACATTTGTTTCTCTTTGTGCTTTTCTCGCCACTGCCTTGATGTTTTCAAAGTGCGTTTGCAGTTCGTTTACGCCATCTTTAATATCTAGCGAGACATTTTTTTTGCCGCATTATGCCGTTTTTTACCTTCATTAAGGCGGCTATACACTTTCCTAGTGTCTTCTCCTCTTCCCTTCTCAGGGTTTGGATATACTCATCGCTCGGTGAGACGGGAGCCTCATTCATTTGTGATGGCACATTTGGCGTGCCGCTGTCCGATGTGAACTTCCCTGGGCCATCTTGCGATGGCGCTTCCGTTAACTTTTGTGTATCGGTTGATTCTTTTGTCATGTTTTTTTGGGTCCAAACTCCTAGCCGCTATCGGTGTTCGATTGTATAGTCGCTCGTAACGATCCCCATGGTTATCTATGCAAAGCAGGGAGGTCATGCGAGGGTTAACACAATTCCTTATGGGAGATTGTGTTCAGAGCCAGGATCTGGCGCAGGCCAGGAGTACTCTCAACTGAGCCTATACCACCAACTTAATGGTGACGAGACATCGAACGTACTTGGAGACTTGCCAAGTTTTAAAAGGACGGAGGAAGATGCAGCATTAACCTGAAAGCCATTTCTATGAGATGTCACTCTCATGTACTCAGGTAACAGAATACCACATCCGCCAGCCCAAAGTCATCGTTATAGTTGTTTATTTCCAGTATGCCATAATCAGGATCTTACTGGGCTCAATCCTGATGGGTGTATGAACCCTGAGTTCATAGCTGATGTGCATTGCCTGTTTCGGCATGCGTTTTTTGCCATCATCTTAACATAGTGTTTATGTTGGACGTGAAAGAACTCCATCGTTGGTGCAGCTGCCTTCACTCTCTGCACACTTGGGTGTCCCTCGATGGCTGGATTTTAGTCGCCTCGTACGACTCTCTGCACACTTGTGTGTCCCTCGATGGCTGGATTTTAGTCGCCTCGTACGACAGGCATGCCTTACCACGGGAATATTCTAACCCCTATCCCGCAGGGGGAATAATAATAATAATAATAATAATAATAATAATAATAATAATAATAATAATAATAATAATAATAATAATTATAATAATAATAATAATAATAATAATAATAATAATAATAATAATAATAATAATAATAATAATAATAATAATATCAAATGAATTATTAAAATAACTCGAACGCGGCACTAAGTACGGTGAAGTGGTGACAACTAGCATAGAAAACAAATTTCCAAGAACTCTTACGTCAGAGCACGAAGTGGTAATTGATTGAAATAAATTTTAAATTCACTTTATAAATAAAAGTATTGTGTTTATTTGATGTTATTTAATTTATAACTTGTCTCTGCTAAAATGAAAAATTCTTCTTCTCCTGCTCCTATTCACTCTTAGATAGTTTTTTATTACTTGTATTTATAGCATATTTATAGTGGTAAAAAGTACTATTTTGTATGCTAAATATAAAAATTTAGGAGCAAAAAAAAACAGTTAAGACTTAGATTAAGCTTCAAATTACTAGTAATTACATATTGATAGCAGCGCAAAATAATTACACCAAGAATTTAATTTAACGAATTCAATAACAAATCATTACCGTGGTCTGAAAAGGAGCATTTTTTTCTAATTTTAGAAATAAGAAAAGGTTGTGTAAATTATTTAACAATAACAATATTAATTTTTAAAAATTCATCAAAATAACAGTTCTAATGATGTAATTGTATATTTGACACTCTGTATAAGAAGTAATCAAAATGTTACAGCAAAAATAAAAGAATGATCAAACAATCGAAATTTATTTCGTCACCATGTAGTTAGGTTTTATAATATGCTAAACAACTAAACTTGTCTTAGATCTAATCCTTCACACATTTTTCACAATCTGCTTTTCATATGGTTTCCAAGTTCTTCTGCGATCAGTTTTGGCTGCAATCAACTTGTAAAGTCTCTTTTGATGTGGAAATTTAAGATTTGGGGACATAAAAATGGAAGCTACGGTTGACATTGCAATAGAATACTGGCATCAAAAGAATAGCATTTAAAAATGGTGGATGATGGAAGGAACATTTTTGGAGTTAAATCTTCTTGAGACAATAAGGTAATAATGCAAAAAAATTAACTAAAATAATTCAACAAAAGTTTGGAAAAAATGAGTTTTTCTGAAAATGTTATTAATAATATACCAAAATCATGAATATAGAACCTAAACACTGCTCATTTCTAATGAACTCTAAATTAATAATGTAACTTTTTCTATTTATATTGATCACACTTCTTCTTTAAGCACTACCATACCCCGCTATTGATTCAGGTAAAAATCCTTGTCCTTCATTTTAGCTTGATATCATTTTTTGCTGCAACTGCCTTTCGCCTAAATTTGAACATTGCTTTACTTTTGAGTATTTTTCCGGTCACATTTCCTGAAGGCAAAGCATCAACTTACTGTTCCACAATATTTGTAATTTGGTGTCTTAACTTTGACCATGTGGTAAAGGAACCTGGCTAGTCTACTCTTTGAGTGTAATGAGGTTCCTTTATATATTGAAATTTTATAAATCCAAACTATTAGGAATGCCCATATAAAATAAAAAAATAATATTTTAAATGTAATCAAGAATATTATAATGTATTCCACAGGCGATTGAGTAATCACTCCATTTCACTTGCTATAACTTTACCCAAAACTGTAATATGAGATAATTTTCAAAATTAAAAGAAATGGTTCAATGAAGTTAGTAAGTTCAATCTCTTGATATTAAGAATTCGGAAACATATGTGTCATAATAAATAGGAATATATTGAAAATATATTAAAGTACTAAAAACCATTTTTCGGACTCAGCCAATAAGAGTCCATGTAAAGATAAATATAGCAAGCTAGGCTATGAATTTTCTGATAGAATTACTGAAATGAGCTATATTATGTTATATGGTATAAACACAGTGTCTGTTATATTTTAGACCTGCAACGAATGTTTTTTAGTCATATATAAGCGGTATTGACATATTATATACGGTTATCAACATTCAAGTTTAATATGACACAAGAATATTCAATTCAAGTAGAAGACTTGTGTACTTTAGCAAGATAATAATATAAAAATGTGAATTCGGTTAACTGCCAAACATTGAACAGATCTGTTAAAGCGATTGTAATATGAACGATGCATACTGATGATTACAGTTGAATGTTTTTACACAAATATATATGAATACATTTTGAATATAAATGGAACCAGACGATAACTGCAAGTAATGAATTAAATATTGTGTACGAAACTATTTTTATATAGGAATGAAGTTTTAGCATAAAGAGCGAACAGAGACATGACATTCCTTAATATTTGATTGTTTACTGATAAATTAAAAAACCTTGATTATTTAAGAAATCAACATGAACACTCATATAAAATTAATTAAAGTGTGTTTTTTTATATTTAAGAAAGAGGAACTAACTAATACTATATTTATTTCTTAAAGTTTTTTATACAAATTAGAAAAAGTACATAATTAACAATTTGAAGAAGTGAAGTATTAATCGTTGTATTCCAGAAAATAATATTATTATTTTATTTTCCAACAGAAGTTTTATTTCCGTTTACTTAATACAGAAATAACGCAAACAAGTTCATGGCTCATTAGTCAAAACACACACACCCACCAAATACAGAATGTACATTGGCCCAACGTGGCGTATGACTGACGGAATTAATTGCTATGGAAAGAACTTTTAATAAATCAATTAAAGTTATTAATATATAGGAAAATACAGAAAAGAAAGAACACTGGAAATATAAGCGTATAACTCGAACTTTTTATACAAGAGCAACAATCACAATATAAATAAGTTTCATGTACACTACGGAGTTAAGAAGAGGACACAAAAAATAAAAAATGGAACGAAAACTTTAAAAAGATTTGCAAAACTTTTCCATAACAAAAAATAATTATGGAAGTAACATTTTTATAGAAATTTATTGCAGCGATTTTGTTGTTAAACTTTCGTGAATATAGAAAATATTTGTTAAATGCCCTCATTTCTCCAGCCAATCACAAAATTAAGCAACCCTGGCACAGGGCAGTACAAAATTTTGCGCAAACTGTTTTTTTCCTTTAAAGAATTATTTTAAAAATTTAAAATCAAAATAAAAATATCCTGCAAACTTTTATTATGCACTGAAGCGGGCGATTGAGAGTTGCTTACAATATCCTTTCAATTTTATTTTTATATAAAAAATTTTATTTTATTTTATTTATTTATTTTTTATTTTTTTCTTTTGGTATTCGCCTGGGCTTGTGTTTTGAATTGTTTCTGTGTGGATTTTATTTAAACTCCTATTTATTTTATTATTTTTTTATTAGCAATTTTTTTTCAGAACAGTCGTAATTTTTTTGTTGTTTATGTTTTTCAGTGTTATTTTTTGTTGCAATTTTTGGCGATATTCTGGCGTCAGCAGTGGTGTAAGCAGCACATGCGTTAAATGATGACAATGTTGCCAGAATTTATGTTTGATGATACAAGCGGCACGTTGAAAAGTTTAAATTAAAAGTTTTTAATGTTGAAGTGGATTTTTCAACTTTTTATGGAGTGTTTTGCTGTTTTTTGAACAATTGCTATATAGTTACTTCGACTACA